TTTTTTTATTTTATTTACTTTTGAGATGGAGTAGTCCTGATGGCACTGTGGATGGGGTATTAGGCTGCTAACCAGAAAGTTGGTGGTCCAAACCCAGCAGCTGCTCCACAGGAAACCGATGAGAGCATCTGCTCACAGAGGTTTATAGCCTTGAAAACCCCAGGGAACAATCCTATTTTGGTTTATAGCATCAAATAGATGCTCTGGGAGTGGACTGGATTGCATTTGTGAGGTTTTAGTACTGAAACTCCAAACAAACCCATTTCCATAGAGCCATTGCTGACTCATAGCAATCCCCTGAGGGTTTCTGAGACTGTAACTGTTTACCGGAGTAGAAAGCTCGGTTTCTCTTCCAAGGAGCTGCTGGTGATTTTGAACTGTTGACCATGAGGATCGATGCCCAGGAACTTTTGTAGACAAGTGTGATTAATAGCAGACAGGATGCCGCTGTTGCCAATTAAAAAGTAAAGCTCCTCTGTCTGTAGGTTCTTCTTGCAGATTAGAATCTACCACAGAATCCAAACAGGAAAAGCCCCTGGTGGCCCCATGTCTTTTCATTCTGATGTACGTTGTACATCATGCTTGTCTGTTGGTTCTTGAGGATGTTTAGGTAACTCTTTGTTAGTTATCTGCTGCTTTTATAACAGAAATGCACCCGTGGAATGCTTTAACAGAAATTGATCCTCTAACAGTGTAGCCAGTCGGTGCCAAGGAGTCGCTGGCGACCCATAGGAATCCCATGTACAACAGAAAGCAGTGCTGCCGGATCCCTGCACCATCCTCACCATCGCTTTGATGCTTGAGCCCGTTGTGGAGCCACTGTGTCAACCCGTTCCATGCAGGGCCTTCCTCTTTCTCACCAGCAAACTCGATGTCCTTCTCCAGGGACTGCTCTCTCCTGACGACATGCTCAAAGTATATGAGACAAAGTCTTGCCATCCTTGGCTCTATTCCTTGCCTTGGGCTGTATTTCTTCCTTACTCTAAATCCAACTTTCATATGCAGGGAAGGCATTTGAAACTATCACGGCTTGGGTCAGGTGCACCTTAGTCCTCAAAGTACCGTATATACTTGAGTAGAAGTCGACCTGAATATCAGCCAAGACACCCAATTTTACCACAAAAATTGCATTTAAAATTTTGCTGAAAAACTCGGCTAATACAGGAGTATATAAACTCCTTGCTTTTCAACCCTTTCAAAAGATCTTGTACTGCAGTTTTACCGAATACAATGTGTCATTTAATCTCAACTGCTGCTTCCATGAGTATTGATTGTGGATCCAAGCAAGGTGAAATCTTTGACAACTTCAATATTTTTCCCCATTTATCATGTTGCCCTGGTAGCATAGTGATTACATTTTGAGTTGCTAACTACAAGGTTAGCAGTTCAAAATCAAGAGCTGGCCCTGGAAAGATGAGGGTCTCTACTCCTGTACAGGGTTACTGTCTCAGAAACTCATACAGGCAGTTTTACCCTGTCCTATAGGGTCACCG